TAAGATAAAACTTATTTGGAAATAAGAGATATCTTATTTGAAAATAAAATAAAACTTATTTGGAAATAAGATACAACTTATTTGGAAATAAGATATATCTTATTCAAAAATAAGATACAACTTATTTGGAAATAAGATACAACTTATTTGAAAATTAGATACAACTTATTTGGAAATAAGATAAAACTTATTTGGAAATAAGATATATCTTATGTGAAAATATGATATACGTATCTAATATGGAAAAAAGGTAAATCTTATTGGAAATAATATATATCTTAGTTAAAAATAAGGTCTATCGTACCTGGAAATGCGATATATCTCATTTCTAATTGCACGTCCGCCAAAAATATTCAGTTTCCTCTAAACCGTCGGACGATGTAGAAATAGAAATTAATTCTCGTATAATAAAGAGAACTGCGAGCATTGAAAACTCGGAGCGAAATCTTGGAGATCTTTACTTGTGTGCTATGTAATTACGCGAGAAGAAATACCGTGCAATGAATGTATAGTTTGGTGAAGATGTCAAGATTTTTGCTTTTCATTATCTAAACCAAACACTGACAGAAGAGACCGAAGAGAAGTTGAAGCAAAACTTGACTAGCTAAGAGAAAGACAATAAGGGTGAAGGTTAAAGTAATTTAAAGAAAGCTGAATAAAAAAGTGCCGTTTTGTGACGAATGAGAAATTTATGTTAAGAATTGAGGTGAAAACAGTCACTGAAGTGAAGTTAACACAGTTGTTAACAGTTAACAGTTGACCAAGTGGGACACGTACTAGACCAAGGTAATCTTCCACATATGGTGGGTAAACTCTGCACTGTACGTCACTTTATTTACATGTAACAGTAAATCAGATATTTTCTGCATTATACCCGTAATCGACGTTCCAATCGATCGACAGCTCGCGTATGCACGCTTGCCATATAGACGGGGGCCTCCTTCAGCAAACTTTTATCCATTTCAACGCCTGCTGGAAATTGGCATCTGGTGCGGCTCACTGCAGAATATTGAATCAGAGAAGGTCTTCACTAGCAGAAGTCGGAGCGAGGTAGCCGAGATGTTTTAGAAATTCATCCGGACCGCGAAGCTTAGGAAATTCCGCAAGGAAGATTTGGGCCGGAGCTGTCCGCAGAAAACACAATGAGGCTGAACAGACGCGCACCGCAGTGCTTGAGCTCCGAAAAAGAAAGCTGATCTGGTGTGTGCAGCGATATCGATTCTCTTATATGCGGGATTTACGACATTTTTTGTTCATTATTCTTGGACCTAGTATATTTTCTCGTACAAAAATTTATTTTTTTTTTCGCGTTCATTACGCAACCAACCAAAGTTTTAAAGCGAACTTTTTTAATTTCCATCACTTTCTGATTTTCAAATTGGCTAATTTTACATAATGTATTTCCACTGAGCTAAGAAATTTATTTTTGACTGGCGGCTGCCTGGACATTTGTAGGTATTTTTTGCGTTCTCTTCAATCATGGAAAATTTCAAAAGCAATATCGTCTCCCGGCCCGGATGGGAAGAGCTTTTGTATACGAGAAATCCCTTGTACCGAATGAGTAGGCCATATCTATTTTATCCGATGCAAACTTTGATTTTGCAATAATTTTATGAAAATTTCAAGCAAAAAATTTTCTCATCCAACCATATAGCGGGACAAAATTTATTCAGTCAGCCACATAATGAACGAATATTATGTGGAACATTCATCGCTACCTATGGTAAATTTCACGAGACGTTCTCCTGTATGTGTTAATCCATTCTTGTTGCTTTAAAATTATTCTCGAATATCGGAGGAATCAAATTTACCTTACAGTTCTCCTTCCTGGAGATCGTTGGAACTTCGGTGGAATGTCTCATCAAAATCAACCTTTCACATTATATCGATTCTTTTAATTAAATAATTTGTCCAAATTTATTAGCGGTCTCTTGCTCCGCGCTGTTTTACCCGTAGTAAAAGTCATTGGTGCAAGCAACTGTCGTCATTGTTTCTCATAATTCATTATTTTATTTCTAGCCAGACGTTTGTATGTGTGTGCAGAGGCGTCAAGTTTCACGTGCTACGTCTCCCTGCCCAAAGTTAAGGTCATCAATACAAGCCACTGCTCCGGATTTCATACAGCACTGGATGTAATTTCTAGCCAGAAATTTGTATTTATAGCAAGAAAATTGTATTTCCAGCAAGTAATTTGTATTTCTGGGCAGCGGTGTCGAGCTTCACTTGCTACGTCTGTCTGCCCGAAGTGAAGGGCCCCAAAGCAAGTCGCGACCTCGCGATGTTGTGGCGCGCCAACATCACGCGCACGTGGCCGGTCATCATGGAGCCGCAGATGGGCGAGTGCAGCGAGCTGGCCAACACGGCCAAATTCCTCCTGCAGTGTCCCACTGATGACGAGTACTCGGTCTGCACCAAGATCTCTAACGGTGAGTGATCAGTACGGGGTTGTTATATGCTAACAAAATACTGATTTGTTTATTTGCATAAGTAAAATGAATAATTTATGCTAAAAATTTTTCCCTTTAAAAGATACCTTTCGGTTTTAATTCAAATCAGTAGAATTTAGAAATCGTATCTTCCAAAAGAAAAGCATCGAAAGTTCAACTTTTTCTATGCGTTTAGTTCCATAAAGTACCTGGCAATAAGTCCAGCAGCTATCTCAATCAATCGTCAGCTATGGAAAGATCGGGTTCCAAAGGCCGGATCCCTTGTGAATCAAGTCGCGAAAAATTCAAGAATCGGCAACAGGCCATGGGCCTATTTCTTCAACGCCGACACTTCTATTCTATTCTATGAACTAGAATATTTCTTTTTTATCTATGCATTTAGTTCCATGAACTGCACATCCAACAGCGTGTAACTGGATTACTCACCTTACACATTACAGTCAAGAAATACTTGAAATAGAATTATTTTATAATCACAGTCCCCCACCCCCAACAGACTACTGGTTCGGCCTGACGTGCGGACGTGCGACGCAGGACCACGGCAACGGGGAGTACGACATGGGCAACTACACCCTCTTCAACTGCCCCTCCTCCCTGTGTGTCAGCCCCGCCGCAGCCCCAGCGCCGTCAGCCGTCCCTGTGATGGCCTGCATCCTCTGGGGAGTCATCAAGTTCACTGCTTTCTTCTAAGATCCTCATTAAATACATAGCAATTAATCTCGCGCTAGTCAAGGGCTACAGAGACTTGATGACGGTCTAGTTGAAGACGGCAGCGACTCTGTCATTAATAAGTAAATGAACAACAAAGTTTATAGTGATCAACCTCATTAAATACAGTGACCTCAACGAATTAATCTCGCGATAGTCAAGGACTACAGAGACTTGATGACGGTCTATTAGTTGAGGGCGGCAGAGACTCTGTCATTAATAAGTAAATGAACAACAAAGTTTACAGTGATCAAAATCTTAAATTTCGTCACAACTATAGTTTGGAGCATCGCTTTGTGTCATAAATATTGAAAGTTCTCTTATCATTTAGAATGCTTAGCACTTCAGAACAGGCCATCAGTAATAAAAGTCTGTAATACAAGCCAGCACTTTTAGCAATAATCATATGTACAAAAGATAAAGATTCCTTGATTGAATTCGAATCAAATATTTTCATTTTTACAACCTGAAACAGCAACTGTTGGATTTGAAGTAGATGTGTTTTTATGAACTGATATAACGATTGTACATTGATTGTAAAATTGATCAATGTACATTGATCTCAACAAATGAAAATATAAATAAATGGAAGTGTCCTTAACAGATTTTGTCAGCGTAAAGCTCGTATTTTTGTTAGAGACAAATGCCTCTGTGTTTAAAATTGAACGTAATCAATCTAGCTCTAGAATGTATTGATGTTGAATATGATATTTCAATATCAACAACACTGAAAATTGTCGCATAGAATCATCAAGCCATTATTAAGTTTGAGACATTGCAACATTCGCTTCAAGTCTCTACGGTCAATGAACCTTGTTATTGGAGGCGTTGGTCAATGAATCTTGTTAGTGGCTGAGGTTGAGCTTTGAAACAAGTACAGCTTTGCTGGTGAAAATGGTTCGAGCCTCGATATTAGTTTTCAAATAGTTCAGTTCCATCAAATCTTTTGATTTAAAACTAAAGCAAATCCTGTACAGGCCTAGGAGCGACTTCATTATCTGAATGAAGATACGCCCTCATGTGTCGCGCATTTCATTATCAAGCATCAAAAAAATAGTAAGCTTATCTGAGATTCGATTTAAATTTCATTTAAATTTAAATTTTTGATTTAGGTATTAAAATTCGAGGTGAAAATCTTNACGACTCTCTTGATATACGACTCTCTTGATATACGACTCTCTTGATATACGACTCTCTTGATATACGGCTCTCTTGATATACGGCTCTCTTGATACACGGCTCCATCTGAAAGCAGCGAAGGCAGCAAACGTTCCAACTTGAACTAGTACAGCGCACAAATGAAGTGGTATTGCGAGCTAGAGCTTTCCAGCGAGCCTTTAAACGAGCAAACGGCCGTCCGTATCGTCCAGGGAAATGACCTTAAATTCCGTCCCCTTCTTTATAAAGTACGGCGTCCGCTCCGGCTTTTTGAACGCTCGGAAATTCCCATTTGAAATGCAGGAGCCCAGGAGTTGCTAAAATGTGGGAATTCGCAATTATTTCTTCACGCATTATTTCAGAGAGGGAAGTCCATACATGAATAAAGAATATTTCAACGACAATAAAATCAAGGTAAACTATGCAGAGCTGTCGTGGTCAAGCCGAGGAGTTTTCACTACCGAATTCTGAATGCCTTTATTTGAGCAAGCGCGTAAAAAGTATTTGTTTTAAATTTTGGAAAACTTTCTTTAGGGTAAAACTTCCTGCTCGCCCCTCGCAAAAAAATTAACATTGGGAGGACAATTCTGTCGATCCATTGAGATACACATATTCCTTCGAAATAAAAAATCATATACACACTGCCAAAACACTAGTTTCTATGGAAATTTAGTCAATTTATGTCACTAAATTAAGTCCAGCTTTTCTGAAAAAATCGAGCTAGAGGGTATGCGTCATTGGAAAACAGAAATATCATATACTGTCACAAATGCAACATAAATAAATTACCTCCACAAACATTTACTCAGAATTAAATTTCGAATTAAATTGGAGCTTAATGAAAGGTTTAAAATTAACGGCGAACTTTGAAATTGCTTAGACTATTGCGAGTCAAAAACGAGAAATGCCTTCATCCTGCATACGATCGAAGCAAACACTAAAGCCTGATATGACTGGCGCGTGCAAGGAAGTATAGCGACTGCTTGACGCAGCGATGAGCTCCAGGGCCTATACTTTAAAAAAAGTTAAGAAATCGTAAGTTCATCAGCCAATCATTGACTGCCTTTCAAGCAAAATCCACCAATCATAGACAAGAAAATAGAACGTAAGTACTTACGTTCACTTAGCGAGTTTTGAAAGTAGAGCTCCAGACAAATTGGAACAAGGCGCAAGCTGCAGTCCAAAGGATTTAGGGAAGCTATTGGTGGCTGCAGACTCGCAGCAAACATGACGTGTGAGAGCCAATCTCTAAAATAAAAACAAATGAAATGCTGGAAATTTTTAGGCGCGGGAACTTCAGGATCTTAATTGCTGCGAATTCTCGAGCATCCCGTGGGTGGGCAGCTGTTTTTTTATTGGCTTTTTGGCGTGGGCAAATAGATCAGCTTCAGCATTATGTTAATCAAATGAAAAATACAACTCATGCATTCAATTGAATTCTAATCACATTAATTTACACTTTAATTTAAATCATGTATATATATACTTATTTATTAAGTGATAAATTTCGCGTTGCTAGTCTACATTATAGACCAACCTGAGACAGTTGTGTCGTGAGGTAGAATTTTATAAAGGATTGTGTATCCAGTATCAATTAATTAATTAAAAAATTAATATTGGTGATTATATTACTAATTAGTATTTATGAATATACACACATAAGAACAAAATTTCAGAAATATTTTGGGCGATAATATTTCCTAAATTAAAAATTGCAGAATTTCGATAACTTTCATTTATAAGTAACACGTGCTTCATAACAGCAGGCGCCTACATTTACGACCCGGTGCTCTCATCACTCCGTACCTCAAGGGAGCAGCACCTGCCATCATGCACGTATATCAGCCAGTTATTGAGAGGATAAACAATCAAAGCTGAAAAACATTGAAGTAGTCCAGCCTTTCGATTGAATGGTTGATGAAATTGAGTTTAGGAACCTATGACAAAGCTGCTTTGTTTTGATGGACGACTAGAACCTGTCGAGTCCAGTAGCATGAGGAGGATTTCCTTGCGCCATCGTCCCTGGTATGGATTTTAGTGGCCTTTGAAGTCCGGTGTTCAGGGCCGAAAATACACGGATCTTTGAGTTCGTTGCTTCCATCTGCATACGTACGAAACGATCGCTAAAATTGCATAAACCTGCGATAAACGCTCGCCAGAGGAAGAGTCTGGGAAGATCTCTATCGAATATTCTCCAGTGAGACACAGAATGCGTCATGTTGTTTGTTTCTTGTTAAATCCTATAAGGAACTGATGTATTAGATTCCGCTCAAGGGCTTTGTACAGAAATATGGAATAATTTTATTAATTTTTGTGTGTACATTGGGGCTAGAGTGTTACAAAGCTGTGTCGTAAGGTAGGATTTTATAAAGGATTGTGTATCCAGTATCAATTATTTAATTAAAAAATTAATATTGTTGATTATATTTTTAATTAGTATGTATGAATATACATACATACAAAAGAATTTTCAGAAATATTTTGTGCGCTAATATGCCTAAATTAATATTTGCAGAATTTCGATTGCTCTTATTTATAAATAAAACCTGCTTCACAACAGCAGGCACCTACAGTTACGACTCCGGTATATGAATACATGCATAAAAATATTGAATATACATGCAAACAAAAGAATTTTCAGAAATATTTTGTGCGTTAATATGCCTAAATTAATATTTGCAGAATTTCGATTACTTTTATTTAAAAAAATACGTGCTTCATGACAGCAGGCGCCTACATTTACGACCCCGGTGCTCTCATCACTCCGTTCCTCAAGGGAGCACCTGCCATCATGTACGTAAATCGGTCAGTTATTGCAAGGATAAACAATCAAAGCTGAAAAACATTGAAGTAGTCCAGCCTTTCGATTGAATGGTTGATGAAATTGAGTTTAGGAACCTATGCCAAAGCTGCTTTGTTTTGATGGGCGACTAGAACCTGTCGAGTCCAGTAGCATGAAGAGGATTTCCTTGCGCCATCGTCCCTGGAATGCATTTTAGTGGCCTTTGAAGTCCAGTTTTCAGGGCCGAAAATACACGGCACTTTGAGTTCGTTGCTTCCATCTGCATACGTACGAAACGATCGCTAAAATTGCACAAACCTGCCATAAACGCTCGCCAGAGGAAGAGTCTGGGACAATTCTATAGATCTCTATCGAATATTCTCCGTGAGACACAGAATGCGTCATGTTGTTTGTTTCTTGTTAAATCCTATAAGGAACTGATGTATTAGATTCCGCTCAAGGGCTTTGTACAGAAATATGGAATAATTTTATTAATTTTTGTGTGTACATTGGGGCTAGAGTGTTACAAAGCATTCACGGGTGATTGGTTTCCAGCGGTTCAGTTTTAACTTTATGAGGAGTTTAATTATTATATAACTAAAAAATTTATGAGGAGTTTAATTATGAATAGACAAAAGCAAAGAGACATATGCTCAAATGGAGCAAATCTTTCAAGCGTTATTTAGTTATCTAAGTCATGTTATTAGCAAAAAAACAAGCTCTGGGAATTCGAACAGCAAGGGAAAAATTCATGGAATTCGAGCAGCAAGTTCCACCAATTCTGTAGCGCAGCTCCAACTTGACGATCCCGCGGTCAACGGAACTTAGGACCGCAGACAAGTTGTGATTGCGAAGACCCAGCGTCGCATACTGCGCCTAGCGTCGCATCCATAAAAATCACTCCGTAATCGGACGTTCAAAGTTATTCTTACATTGAAGTTTTGGCGTCAATTGTTGTTGTTATTGATGTTACAACTTTATAGTGATCGGCAGATGGATGACTGTTTGTCTGAATTATTTTCCCAATTAATTCAGTAACTGTTTACCTTCCGTACAATTTCGGGGAGGAGGAGCAAAAAAGGAGCCCCATCCTAATACGCCCATCACCGAAATTCTTCCAACAATTGTGATAAGCTGATATTGTAAAAGATAGTTTCAAAGTGCGGCTAATAGCAGAAAGAAACACTAAGTTTAAGAATAAAGGCTAAAACTAAAAAAGTTGCATAAAACATTTTACTGAATAGAAGTCCTCTTCTATTCAGTAAAATGTTTTATGCAACTTTTTTAGTTTTAGCCTTTATTCTTAAACTTAGAAGAACTCCTCGAGATATTGTGAAAGAAACACTATAAAAAGTTAAATGTCAAAAGTTACATGTCCTTACAAGTGCTGCCGTGTTTCACCCTCAACCCCTCTCCTTGTCGTACATTCCACAAACAGTGCTGAGAGATTAACACACATTCGATCATAAAGCGAGAAGTATATTATCCTCTAAATTATGTTTTTTCTTTATTTCAATGCTTTAGAGACAGAATTTCATAATACATAATAATAGAGGACTCGGGATGAACTAAATTGCCAAAAGTGCAATATACTCTAACAGTCTAACTCAGATCCCATAAGCACCGATCCAGGCGTAAGTACAAACGTCTTTGAAGTTTATCTGCAAAGAAACGTAAAATGCAATTATATAATATAATTGAAAGATAACACGGAAAAGTTTCATTCTATCAAGCGGAAGGATTGGTTCGGAATTTGTTGTTGTCATAAGGGTTTTGTGAAGAAATGGTAGTAGCGCAGACTCTCCCAAATTTTCAACTCTCCTGGTGAGATGGAGATTAAAACATTGTTTTATATGAGAACGAGTGAGTAAAAGCATGTTATGTTGTATGCAAATGCATACAAGGAAATAGAATAGAACGATTGAGCACCTATCTTGGCCACCCTCCAACGTTGAGTCTAGACATTTTCCGAACGATAATAGTAGCTTAAAATGTGTTAAATAATGACTACTTCAAGCCTAACTCGTAATTAAACGTAAAAAATCTCTCACAACATTTTTTCTTGTGTGAAGTATTTTTTCTTGCGTATGGAACAATTCAGAAATCCCTATTTG